TTCAGCTTGCAGCACTATTAAGTTTATCTATATCCGGTATCATTCATAGATACCAATTAACTTAAAAAAATAACATCAAACATAATTTTCCATTTACCAAGATAGTGATGCTTTTTACAGAGGCCACAAAGCAGATCTCTTTCTTCTGACTACTATACTTCTATTTTAATACCCCAAAACTTGACGGCAGTGTTACTCCTAATACAGCACAGCCAAAAATAGACTAATACATGAATCTCCAATACACAGAAGTCTCTTAAAGGCACGATGACCTAAATTAATTTGGCAATAAAATAAAAATATATGTGCATTTAGATAGTTTGAGCAGATGAATTAATATAGTAATTTTAACGTGATCAGCTTTTATCAGAGTATTATTTCTTGATACAACTCTGTCCAAATATCAATCAGAAATAAATCAAAACTAGAATGATCAACTATAATCTCCTATTCTGCATTTTTTCTCTGCTACCAGAAATATTTCCATTACTACCCCATAATGAGAACCTCGTTCCTTTTGTCAGACACAGCCTGCATTCTCCAGGTTTTGGAACAGCAGCGAAAGACACAAAGAACAAATCTTTTACTATAGCGAGACCTGCGCTCTGCTTTTCTAGAAGGTCTGCACAACACACACCATGTCAAATGTAAAGGTAAATTCCTCAAGTGATTTCGGTCTGGCTTTTGACCTTTCTGCTGTCTGAAGACTCCCCTTAGCTCTTTTTGCGATTCCCATGCCAACCTCCAGCAGACAGGGCCGGAAGATCTCCGCACACACACGGCAACGGCGGCCAGTGCGGTCTCGCTAGCAAAACGAAGAAGGGGAAGGGCTGACTCTGCCAAATGTTTCCTGTAAAGAGACTGCTCTCTAGATAGGCAAATAAAAGATGGCCTCTCTTTGGGCTGTTATTCCTTTACCCTATTGTTGGCATATCAGGAAGATAATCCAAGCAGTGACACCCAAGTCGCTTGTAGTCTCTCCCTGTACAGCTTCTACACCTAATTCATCATCGTGGCGTCTGACTGGCTGAAACATGAGGTGATCCTGCAGCAGGAGCTGACTGGGGATCACGCAGTTTAGGGGATCAAAATGTCTTTAAATACTTCTATTAGAAAAAGAACCTCTAAGATGTAAATTAGATAAACACTTTGTGGATATACAGTCTAAGCTTCCATACATCTATTGTGGCACATGAGGCAAATCCCTGAGGTGGAAGAGCTCATCCCAGCTCCTGAAATAGTACAGTCTCATTTTCAAGTTTTAGTTTTTTCTACATTTTAAAGAAAAAAAAACTGTATGCTGCACTTGCTACTACAGCATACCTTATGAATCTTCTGTTCTATCAAGTTTGTCTTTCTCCAAAATATCTTACTGTAATATCTAACACCAGTCCTTTTACTCTTCTAAGCTTATGGTATAAAGTTTCTACTTCTCAACTATTTCCCTGGCATAGCACATAAGATTTTTTAATACTCTGTCACTTTACAACATATACTATACATTTTATAGCCAAATAATACTGCTGTTTTGCTTTAAAGATACTCTTCTAGCTCCACTATGGTTTTTAATTTGGATGGTAATGCCAAGAATCTTGAAATAGTTTTTGAAGCCTAACTGTTTTTACTTCTGTCTCCGCATCTGTAATTTTCTTTCTCATTCTTCCCAAAACATTTCCTGAACCTAAATCGGCCCCCTAGGATGCTTATGAATTCTTTAATCATATCCTAATATAACAACCGAAATTAGTTGCAGGTCAATCAGAATACTGGTATCAGGCTTTTTTTCCCTACCACCTCTACCTCAAAACAACAACAAAACTGCAAAAACACCACTGCCATTGACCAACGTTTATATTTCCTTCTTATCCCTTACCAAATTCTAATGACAAATTACAAAATCAGTTTCAAAGCTTCCCAAAGATTCATCCCCACTCCCCATCTCTTCAAGCTACACTCCTTCATTCTCCATCACCTCTTCCTAACAAAGATGATTCTTCTACGCCATCCACTCCAATGCCCAAAACATTTCCTTCGGTGTTATCTTACTCTTTGACAAAACTTGGACTTCAGCTGCTAATAAGGCTTCAAAGTGTAAGTACATAATTAAAAAATAACCTTCACTGAGGAAGCTAAACCTGTATTCTAAACTCAACAACAGTCTAGCTACCACTAGTAGGCAATTTTTAAACTTTTCTTAAAATTATCCTGCTAGACATGTACAAGGTAAAAGATCGTTCTGTTTGTCTAAAAGGCTCATTAAGAAGCTGCAGATTTTATGAACAAAAATTTCTAATTTTTAGATTTAAGCATTTATGAAAAAATATCAACAGAAATTTCATTTCATTTTAAAATCCCAAGGTTTCTAACCTTTAAAGACGCAACACTTAACACTGCCTAGGTGGAGTGGTAACCCTGTTAGTAAGACAATATCCGCACTAAGATATTGAGCATACAAGATGATTATTTTTTGGAGGAAACAATTGCCGCCAGTCAACATCTCATAGCATGATGATACAGCTAGAGACAGACAGCAGCAAAACTCAAGTAGTACACTGAACTCGCTCTGCTACTGTCGCACCAGAGAGACAAACCTCTTTCAAAACCTAAGCAATCCCTCTTCCCTTTGTACCACCTTATCACACCCAGAATGCACCATAGCTAGGGCTCTACAAGCTGATGCCCTCCATTTAGCCAAAGAATAAATACAGGCTATGAATACAATAGTAAAAGCTATTTTATACTGTAATGCAGCATAAGGCACCTTGATCTGAGAAGCTTCTCTGCATAGTAGGTATTTCTGTCTCAGAGCCAATTTAATCACTACCCTCCTTGTGGACACAAATATCAATCAGCAGGCCACAAGCAGACATGAAGTGGTTACTGATCTTTACCACTCGTTATCAGGACAGCCAGGGCAGATTTTAACTGTGTCAGTTTAATAACTGTGTCATCACAATTACTGTATCCTTTCTGCAAAGACATCTTCTCAGACAACCAGGCAAGTTCATAAAGACCAAAATAGGAAGCCAAAAGACCCAGAGGTTTCCAATATACAGACATGCTGTAGCTCAGACAAACTCTTGAGGTTGACGCACGCATTACTAGGTAAAGATTTAGTACATAGGAATTCAGATCAAATGATCTTAACAATCCTGTCTGTTAACGTGCTGGTGATCTGGCATTTGGACTGTAAGTTAGATGCAAAGAGAATAATGAACAATTTATTAGTTAGAATAAAAATTAGTAATTTGATAGTATTTTGCCAAACTCTGAACACTGTCCTACAAAATTCTTGTAATAGGTAGTCAACCCATAGTAACAGAATAGTTGAGAGCAAGCTAAACAATCCCTAAAGGAAAAACGCTGCAAGTTCACTGCCAAACTGGCTTTTGTACTTAATCACAACATTGAATAAGCACCTCCCAAAAGGTTAAGAATATCCTTAAGTTCACTTTCTAACATTAACACTGATAAATCAGCATTGCTCTTCCATGGCTACATTTTTTTTTTAAATCATCATAAATATTTGTAGTATTTCACACTGAAATACTTATATCATGCTGTTTCCTTTCAATTTCTGGTTATGAAGCTGGTTCATGCATTCATTATTTTCATGAGGATGATTTCTTCTAATCAAGTAGAAGACTTTCCAATATTTGTTATATAATTCCTGAATTTGTTCTTTCTGTAATCTACAGAATCAAAGTTGTTGCTCATGTACTTATTTACTAAATCTTCACAGAAATTTAGTTCACTCAAGACTAAAACAAAAAGAAACAAAGAGCATGAAGTCATAAAGTAACTCAGTAATTCAGGGACCTCAGGAGGTCATCTAATTCAAGCTCAGACCACGTTGCTCAAGGCTTTGTCCAGTTAGGGAAGTGTTCCTGAACTAAAGAATACAAGTTCCTATATTTTATCAATGTCCATTAAAAAAAAGAAAGGCAACAGATACAGAAAAGAAAATATAATTCATCAACATGTATTCGCTGAGTGGAGAAAACAGGTTACAGAAACAAGAATTAGAAAACTAATTCTGTTTCCATGTACGTTGTGTGGAAACCTATGGAACATTTAGCAATGTGAACAGATGAAGAATGAACGCAGGACAGGAATAAAATTAATAAAAGTTTAAAACACCCAAAGTGACAAACCAATTACTGAAATAAGAAAAAGGGTTTTTACAAAAAAAATCTCTCCATCGGTGAACGTAAATGGCACATGGAAACTAAGCGTTAAATCTGAGCATTAAGTTGTTCTACATAATCTCTTCAGATCGTACAATAAATAATCCAATGAAAATGCAAGGCAATCAAAGGAAAAGTTAAAATTGAGATAACTAAAGGATAAACCTACTTGAGGATTATGAATTTGGATTTATGAATATGATATTTATCTGTACCTATATGCTCTTGAAACAATGTTGTATTAGTTTGTTCTACTGCATGTATGAAAACGTAGTCTTTGGAATTAACATTACAAAAGAATACAAATAACACAGATAATAGGTTTTAAAGTAGATTGAGCTTATGAAAGCCAGAAGAACTGATAGTTAACTAAAGACAGAAATGATTCAATTAATAATTAAATAATGCAGTCAGAGAGAGGTGACTGCAACACCAATTTTATGTACATTAGGACATGTAGTATTTACTTTAAAATAAAAGAAACAAATGAACAAAACTTAATTATTTTTAAAAAATGGCTAGGAAATCAAGAATTAAAATAAAAAGCCTCAGAAAATCCACAACAATTTACTGAGCTGTGATTAAATACCAGAAGAATAGGCTATGGTTTTAAAATGGTATAGGAATAGGAACCCTGGAATTTATTAAGTTTCAAAGGCAACTGTGAAGATTATTTCACTATGTTATTTTGAAAATTTTAGCCATTGTCTCCTTTACTCACAAGAGCTCACCATGTTCAGAATTTTATCTTGAGTAAAAAAAAAATGGGGGGGGAGGAGGCAAGCGAGGAGGCAAGCGAGGAGAGACAGATACCTTGGCAGCCTTTAGCAAGATTTCCCTCTCTTGTTCATCTTTCCTTTGCTTTTCTAAGCGCTCCAACTGTTCAAAAAATTTTAACTGTGATCGGACATCTGTAGCTTGTTCATACCACTCATCATCCTGCAAAATGAGACAACATTTTATGAAAAACATTCATTATCTTCAAGGCTATGCATTTAAGCAAGACTTCAAATACTGTCTTAAAATTTTTCCAATGTACTAACAAAAAAGAACATGCATTTTTTTAAAAAAACTGTAACGAGACAGTAATATGTTATAAAAGGGGAATGAAGCCAGCCTATGCTTAATACTGTAATTAGCATTTGATTATTTAACTAGTATCTATTGAACAGAAAATACATACAGATTGATTAAACAGCAGATATATCAAAGAGGTAAAAAAATATTAAAAACAACAGATTTACTGATGAAAAAAACCCTAGGATGTGTAATTTTATTACTAAACAGTCCTAAATATAAATCTAAATATATAAAGCCTAGTTATAACTGCAATTCCTGTATTTGTATTTAACTTGAATTAGTAACAGACATGACCATGATGAAGTACCACAAAAACATCTGAAGTTTAAAATCGAGTTGAAAACAAGCATGTAGTTACAATTAAAATAGAAAAACTTTGTGAAGGCTAAGAGCATGCATACTTTACTAGTACCCCTCAAAAATATGAATTTATGACACAAGCTGCATGGGGAATGCAACGTCAGTTAAAAGAATAAATTATCCATATTGCTTTCATCTCATTTATCTGCTTAATATTTTCCTTTCAGGTTCCAAGGCTATTAAATCAAAGAATATCATTAGCCAAAAGACATACAGAAAAAAATGAAAACAATAAGGTTCAATCAGAGTCAATATTAATCTTTTTTCTAAGAATATATGAAGATGTTACTTTAAATGCATCTCTAGTTTCAAAACAGACTAGCAAAGGTTTTGCTTCTCAGGCACTATCCTAGGGAGAAAGGAGGAGAGACTAAATACTTAGCGGAAGCTGGTGAAGAATATTGGAAAAAAAACCCCAAGAAGTTATTACTTCTAGTCCAAGAATTTCCATTAATTTCCAAAGATCCCTTAATCACAGGGAAAGCTGTAAGTATAGGTAAGATACAGACATCCTGGCCTCTTTCTGTTCAATTCATTTTCTGTTACATTAACATTCATTCTAGTCGCAGATCCCAAAGATAAGTTTTTTTGCATATGCCATATACAATTAGTCCTACTGTGACCCACGTTTGGGAATCAGGGAGACAAAGATACAGTCCAGAGGTGCTTGAGCAGGATTTTCAAAACAAACAAACAAACAAAACAGGGTTAAAACAGCCAACCTGTACCCTAGAAGTTTTACTTAAAAAAAATTTACTCAAGATACACTACAGGAATCTAAGCACCGCTTAGACATACACACTCTTCAACTACGGTATTTTCTACCTTACTTTTACACCAGTTTAAAAGCTACGAGCATCTTACTTTTACCAACAGAGAGATCTCATTTTTACCAGTAAAGATGTTTGGTTTATTTGAATTCAAAAGGATTTGCAGTTTCTTATTGAAATTTTTCCTCTGGTTTAAAATATCTAAATTATGTCAATTTTCTGCAAGAATACAATCACTAGCAATAGAATTAGAGTTGCACTATAATTTAAAATGATCTTTTCAAAAAGAATATCATTGTTTAATTACAATGAAGAATTTACAGCTGAATTCCTGGATTGCTGGTTTCAGACAAATAAGTAGCATTTTTCTACGATCTGAAAACGTTATTCTTAGCTTTATCCCTGGCATTTTATCATTGAACTCTTTAAAGCTTTTATGTCTTGGGCCAAAACTTTTTCAGCACACTGTGATGGCAGAAGTAAACATTAGTATTTCTCACAGCCAAGAATATGTGAAACTACTTTAAATTAGGTACCTATATATTGAAGCAACTTCAATCCAATTAATGGATACCTCGATCAAAAAAGGAGACACCAAGAAACAACAGTTTCAGCCATAATCCATGAGCAGAAATAGTTTCACTGATGTTCCATATTTTAGCACAAAAGGATGAAAACTTAATTCTACACACAAATTCTATTACAGACATTAAAAAAAAAACAGACCTGGCAAGCAACGCCATCCTTTTACCACTTTCTGTTTTTTAAGGAAGACAAAATTGCAGTTAAAACATGCTTTGCACACAAAATGAACACATAACATCTACAGTGTGCTAAGAAAAACTTGGCTTCTGAAATAGCTTACACTGTGTCATTATACAACATTCAATACTTTGTCTTTGCACACTTACTTTGTGTGATTCCATTCGGTGCTGGGTTATCACTGTTACTTTTTCTATCACTGTTCTTAATCTGTTTTGTGTTGCATGGGAAATAAAAGTAACCACCTCAGCTGGCACATCAGTAATTCCTAATTTTTTAGCTAAAGTGGGAAACAAAACAAAAAAAATTAATTTACCCCTCAGGAAAAAAAAAAAGAGCATAATGTCATAATTTCATTTACCTGAACAGAAAAATCCTTGAAAGTATATTTATCTAACTTTGGTGATGCATTCATGACCTCTTGACAACAGGTGTGATGTCATTTTAAAGTTTTAAACAAGAAACCAGAGCTGTTGCTTTCCACTTAAAAAATATTTATGAACTTCACTGCAGTTTATCCCAGTATTTCAAAAAAAGTATAACAGAGTATGAGTGAATTTGAGCTCCCAATTGTTTTACACAACAAAAAGCAATTTCTTTCTTTTCAAAAGTATTAACTCCAGATTAATATCAGTGTTGATGAGATGGGAGGCTACCTCCCAAAGCATGCTGTTGCATACCTTAACACATACCTTTACATTATCAGCATGCTACCAATAATAACATTTCTTTAGAAAAAATCTACTAAATGAATATGAGGAAATAAAGTCATTTTAACTAGTTATTTTAAAAAAGTGTTTCCCAAAAGTTGCTAACAATATGAACACGGATAGCACTTAAGAATTCTTAAATTTATCAGAATAATTGGTAAGTATTGAATATAAATTTGTGGGTGAGTGTGTACCCTACACTCTAGTGCTACGAACGCATATATACGTGGGTACTCCCAGGGGGACTCACAATTTTCCAGACAGAAAACTGTATGCGTGTGTGTGTGTATATACATAAATAGCTTTTACATATAAAAAGTAGAGTATTTGTCTTTTGCAAGGATTATTGGATTTGACCTACCATAAGATAGTAAATATTCTGATCCCACTGAGTTAGTTTTTTTTAATAACGATTTAAACAAACACAGTCTTCTAAAAATGTTTGTGAACACGTATGTTTGCAACACATGCATATGTACACAAAACGTTACAGAAAATTTGTTTCAGAACATTTTGGAAAGCGTTTCCTGAATTGCAAATGAGAAAAGTAGTCTTCATTTGCGAGGTGGGGGGAGCCAGACAAATACAAACCTGAGAGGCTTAAAAACAAATATTTTTTGTGAAGCGTCCCTATCTTTGCAGCCCAACCTCAAGAGCAATAAACCATCACACGTCTAAAAAATGAAGATGAACAAGTGAACAGCGGTTTTACATTGATATGTACTTCTGTTATTTCAATGCGGTGATTTGAAATGAACTGGCAGCGCTGAGCATAGCCCGCCGCCGCCATCCCCGACGGACAACGACCATCTCCCAGCACAACGCCTGGCATCTCGTCCGGCCGCGCTGCAGCAGCACTTCGTGCCGCGCGAAATTATTCATACGTAGAAAATTGGGGAAGTAATACAGCCCAAAGTGAAAATTGCTCGGAATTCTGTTTGGAGATATGGCTATTATAACTGATTTCATATGAAGCCGTCTGAAAAAGATTATGTTTCCTGCAGCTCTCGCTTCCCCATCTTGTCCTTTTTTTTTTTTTTCTTTGATCTGCACTGTTTATTTAAATGTATATTTTATTACATCACTACAGTACATCATTCCCATACTTCTCAGAGCTGAATTCGCTATGTCATATATTTCTGATATTAATTTTTTAAATGATTCTTTGACGTCGTTATCTCTTAAACTAACTTAAGCCATCACTGATTTCACATTGTACATGTTACCTTAAGGATTTTAGCAATATGTATATACACTTTTAAACTGATTTCTGCCTTCTCGCTAAAAAAACTGAATCTTTCCTGGTGCCCAATTTGTCCTGTGTAACAGAGATGGGACTCCACTGAAGTTGCTGAAAGCTGAAGATACAATGGAAAACAGACATATGCATTAAGATTCCAGTGCTGCAACTGTTATTCATGGAAATTAAGTCCATGAAGTCAGTAGGACTTCAGTCAGTATTTGTAAGAGCAATTTGTGCAAGTCAGATTTGCAATATCAGGTTCTATTTCAGCATGCACCATTTTATTACGCAAACATGTGTAGGGCAAAGCTGTCAATCAAAAAAGCCTAATCTGAAAGATAAAAATGCAAGTAAAAAGGGAGATTTAATTAACTAATATCTAGAAAAGATTTGGGGATGGAAAATTCTTCCAAGCATTTTAACTAAGAGTATGGATGAAAAAACATTAATTTTCTGGAAAGTAATAATTCTTTGAATTTCAGCAGTATAACTTCAGCTACCTAACTTCCCAGAACACACTTAATACTTTCATAATAAAGAACTATCATCATCTGGTTTCTTTCACCATAAAGGTTTCCCATATGGTTTCCCACCATAAAGATTCTTGTCCTATGTCGTCTTCATCCACCTCTGCAATAACCCAGGAACTTTCTACTCCTGAAATCCCTCAACACCATATTCTCAATTCCAGAAAACTAACTGGAGATCAGTTATAAGTAGAGTCCCTCAGGAGTCTGTCTTGGAACTTACCCATTTCAGTATCTTTCTCAGGGACCTGCAGGGGGAGACAGACAGCACCTTCATCAAGTTTGCAGATGACTCCAAACTGAGTGGTACAGTCAGTATGCCCAAGGGCAGGGTTGCCAGTCAGAAGGACGTGATGAATAGGCCAAAAGGAACCTCACGACATTCAACAAGGATAAATGCAAAGTACTGCACCTGGGATAGGCTCGCTCTCTGCAATGATTCAGGAAGGGGACTGCCCGCCAGGGAAGGAGCTCTGAGGTAAAGAGCACAAGAGTCCTGTGGGCAGAATTAACCATGATTCAGCAGTGCTCTCTGGCAACACTGAAGTCTAATAGCATAGTGAGCTGTATCAACAGTAGATCAGCAGTAGCCAGTAGATCAAAGGAAGTGATTATTCCTCTTCACTCAGCACTCATTAGCCCACATCTGGAATACTGCAGTCAGTTTTGGGTCCCCTGGTGCAAGATACATTTCAATAAACTGACTGAGCCCAGGGAAGAGCCACCAAGATGGTCAGGGGGCTGGAGTATATGGCCTGTGTGAGGAAAACCCTGAGGAAATAAGGCTTCCTTATTCTGGAGAAGAGAAGGCTGAGACAGCAGGTTATAAAGAAGATGGAACCAGACAATATATTGAGATGCCTGGAGGGAAAACAAAGGATAATGGTAATAAATTGTAACAGCAGAGGTTCTGACTGGACATAGGGAAAAAAAATCTTCATAAGCATGGAAACAGTTTGCACAGAGAAGCTGTGGAATCTCTATCCCTGCAGGTTTTCAAGACTAAGTTGGACAATGTCCTAAGCACCCCAGCCTGAACGCAGCATCACACAAGCTTTGAGTAAGAGGTTGGATTAGCTGATCACCCAAGAAGTCTTCTGACCTGAATGATTCCATAGTTCCAATTCCCCCCCCCCTCCCATACACCATATGATCCCACAATACCCATAGTTCACCCTAGGATAACCACCTAGCATGTCCACGTTTGTCCAGCTTGCTAGCTGGGAAAAGTCAGTCCACCCTGTGGCTAGTGTGGAACTATGCATTTTCCTAACTGGTGAGCCTGTACAGGGGTGCTGACTGGAGAGCCAATCAGTTAGAAGAACAAAGAGAAGAAAAAGCTTGATTTTTCCTTCACTTGGGATACGCAGAGGGGCTATCTAGCTGCTAATTTATCAGTGGAGATTCAAAAGCTGCCTGCATAGAAAGAACGCAAATAGATTATCCAATCATTTAAAGATAGCTTTTTTTGGAAAACAGGCTAAGAAAGAAAGAATATGACACAAATTTCCCCCAAACTGGATTAGTTAGCATCAAGAAACCAGACTACAAAAAGATAAAAAGATAAATTAAAAATAAAAAAAACAGCATGTCATCCACAACATTCATCATGTAGATAGCATCACATTTCTTCCCTATTCTAAATTATATTATTCAAAATCCTGTTAGCATAGGATACCAGAAGCAGGGTTTATTGTTAAGATGTATACTCCATGAAGATTTGGCATACTACTTAAATACTTGGATTGTACTGGACAAAGATGTAAAAATGACTAATATGCTTCTGAAATAACAATTTCATCTACACTTGAAAAGGTTGGCCCAATTCTTACACACTCATAAAAAGTCACGTGTACAATCAATAAGATGTTATTGATCTCCTGACTTAAGGAAAGTTCCAGTACCGTTGTTTAGAGATTGTCCTTTTCTGCTTTCTGCAACTTCAGTAGATGCTTAAAGCCAAATATACTTAAAAGAGCAAAAGCAGCACAATGACACTGTCTCATAAAGCAGAAAAAATGCCAAGAAGTAGAAACTGAATCTATGCAAAGAACTGGAAACTGTTCATTTTTGTAGGTTTTTATATTAAAGTTTTAATATTTTCTTCTTCCCTGCCACATCTCCTCTTGAGTTTCATCCACTCACATCTATAAAAACAGAAATACGGAAATAATGTTGACCTCTAAATATCCTCTAATTCCTGAGACATTCATCTTGTCTGCATAAACATTTTTCCCAGTTTTAACTCAGAAAGGCATCTCTTCCCTTTTCAAGATTCACCTCTGTGGAGCTCATTAAAATATGACAATAAACAATAACTAGACTAATGATGGTTAATGGGAACAGAAATATAAATTATAGTTTTAAGAAATGTGGATATATATTTTATAATACTATACATACTTAATTGTATCCCAAAAGACATATATCCTCATATATCACACATCTTTCTAACAAAGTCACTGGACACTGACTTTGTCTATATGTATTTCTGTTTGGATCCTAGCGTTCTGGACTCTGGGCTTAACTGTGTCATCTGGTCACTGCAATAGGAAGTCATAATATGTAATGAGCATACATATGTGTATAAATATTCACACACACACACACCCCAAATCCTAAAAGCAGATTAATCTGAAACAAAAGGATTAGCTTTTTTCTATCAATAGACTTCTGTTATCAGTCTTCTGTTAAAAAAGCTACACTTGTTTCTGATTAAGTGATCTCCTTAGTTTACTCAGACATCTTAACTTGTAGATTTGTGACAAATAATCTGTATATAAAGCAGTAAGAAGGAACC